AAGAGTGGTCGGGCATTGGAACAGGCTGCCCAGGGAGGTGGTGGAGTCACCATCCCTGGCTGTGTTTAAGGGCCGTTTAGATGCAGTGCTAAGGGACATGGTGTAGGGGAGGACTTTGTAGAGTAGGGTAGATGGTTGGACTCGATGATCCCAAGGGTCTCTTCCAACCTAGACAATTCTATGATTCTATGATTTTTACTCCCCATGCTGAGGCCGCGTATCTCAGGCATGTTAAAAGTGGCAGTGAAGATCAAAGCAGGCCAAACTGCTCACTGCCTGGCAGACAACACTACGGACAAAACCCTGCGTTGGCAATGACAAACAGTAATTTTTCAAGTACTCTTCTGAGGGTTCATTTGGGATGAACACAGGGATGCGCACTCTGCCACACTAGACAATCACGGAATTCTTCTGTCGGAAGAGACTGCAGAATTTCAGCATCATAAGAAATGTATCTAATAAACATCCAGGCAGCCAGTGTAACCTCAGTAGTGGTATAGTTGGAGAATTTTTCCACTAATGAAAACGCTGATTTAAATAAATGGGGATAACGATAATTACAATAAAACCCCAAAACCTAGGCCATATAGGATTTAACTCAAAAAAAAAAAAGTTTCCTCGACATTAAATTTCACAGTTCCATTACCTACATCTTTTTTTTTTTTATTTTAGACTCCAAATTAATTTTGTCCCATCATCAGTTGCCAAGATGACTTTCATATTGAACTGTTCAGCATTTTCCTAAACAAGTTGTTCTTCTTGAGCCATTCAAGGAGAGCCATAAGAAGAGGTGGATCAGGAACACCGACTTGCTGGTGTGAGCCAGTGGAGTTTTTTTGACAAGTTCTGTAAGAACTCCAATGGAAAGGTAACTGTTGCATTTCCAGACTCCTGACTGAACTAAAAATTTGGTTCTCTCTCTCCAGCATCATGAATATGCAACTGTAACAACAATCTCTAGAATTTTTCCAAAATTTGTTACTTCACCCCCAATCATTCAGAAACTTCATCCAACAGGAAAAAGGAAACTTACCTGTAAAGGTGGAAAGATTGTACCTAAGAGAAAAAACAAATGTCATAAACATAGTACATTATGGTGTGTTAGTGTCGTGGTACAGCACTGAAGTGGCATGGCCACGAATGCCCTCTGACTCTCACCCTCAAATTGTCTAGCCAATTAAAAACCTTTTACGTCAACAGTTACTTTGATCATAATCCTTGTTCCTGCATTAAAACACAGCATGGTGACTTTTGGCATGTAGAAACCTTCAAAATAAGCATCTAGACTGTTAGGATTTTTACCCTGAGAACAGCGTGTTTTGAAGTTTAATAGAAGTCTATGCATTAACAGCCCCTGCCTCTGCTATGGGTAAACACCTTTCACAGAATCACAGAATCACAGAATCTTAGTGGTTGGAAGGGACCTCTGAGATCATCGAGTCCAACCACAAAAAAACCAAAAACAAAACCAAAAACAAACAAACAAACCCAAAAAACCAACCAAACAAATACAAAACACACCACACCAAACGCCCACCAAAAACACCGCACCCACCAACTAAACCCCACACTCAACACCTCACCATAAACCAATAACCTTGGGCACTAGAGCATGCCCTGAAGAGCCATGTCTATACGTTTCTTAAATACCTCCAGGGATGGTGACTCCACCACCTCCCTGGGCAGGCTGTTCCAGTGCCTGACCACTCTCTCAGTAAAGTAGTTCTTTCTAATATCTAATCTAAATCTCCCCTGCCCCAACTTCAGACCATTTCCTCTGGTCTTGTCGTTCGTCCTTTGGGAGAAGAGGCCAACACCTGCCTCTCTACACCCTCCTTTCAGGTAGTTGTAGAGGGCAATGAGGTCTCCCCTCAGCCTCCTCTTCTCCAAACTAAACACGCCCAGTTCCCTCAGCCTCTCCTCATAGGACTTGTTCTCCAGACCCCTCACCAGCTTGGTGGCTCTCCTCTGGACACGCTCCAGCAGCTCCATGTCCTTCCTGTAGTGAGAGGCCCAGAACTGAACACAGTACTCGAGGTGAGGCCTCACCAGTGCCAAGTACAGAGGCACGATGACTTCCCTACTCCTGCTGGCCAGGCTATTCTTGATAAGAGCCAGGATGCCATTGGCCCTCTTGGCCACCTGGGCACACTGCTGGCTCATGTTAAGCCGGCTGTCCACCAACATCCCCAGGTCCTTTTCTGCCAGGCAGCTCTCCAGCCACTCTTCCCCAAGCCTGTAGCGTTGGCTGGGGTTGTTGTGACCAAAATGCAGGACCCGGCACTTGGCCTTATTAAACCTCATCCCATTGGCCTTGGCCCATTGATCCAACCTGTCTGGATCCCTCTGTAGAGCCTTCCGACCCTCAAGCAGATCAACACTCCCACCTAGTTTGGTGTCATCTGCAAATTTACTGAGGGTGCATTCGATCCCCTTGTCCAGATCATCAATAAAGATATTGAACAAGACTGGGCCCAGAACCGAGCCCTGAGGGGCTGTACATAGTTATCTTTTTTTTTTTTTTGCTATATGTTTCTATGCTATTCTGATGCTGCTAACATTAGGAAATGTTTCATATTTCTGAGAAACATTAACTCAGGTAGCCGTAATATTTTATCTAGTTTGTAATCCCAACAACTATTTTCTCACAGTGCCTTGTTACCGTAAATAAAATCATTCAAGATAGGAATATTCCATGTTTACCAACAGGCAATATTTATTATAATAACTGAGAACTCTACATACAGCATTGCACAAAATTATAGTGACCAGTCAACAAAACCATGTTCCTATGCAACTGTAAATAGCACTTTAATAGAAGTTTAACACATTGTGCGTTAGGTGTCTCAGTAAAGTGACAATTCAGAGGATTATTTCGCTGGAGCATGAAAGTGCAAACTTTCATTCAAGGCATACACACAGAACACATGAAAAGGATTGTTATAGGTGCCACAGCTCTAAAAAAAACCCCAAACAAATCCCTCCACCCCAAACCCCACCCCATCAAGGTAAATGAGTAAGTACTAGCGCTCTTAGCAACCACCACTGCTACCACATTCAAAGTCTTATCCCCTAGCAAGAAGCAGAGAAATGCATTCTGAAGAAATGTCCTTAGCTCAGGGCTTCTCATATTAATGCAGCTACATCACATTAACTGCATTTCTTCATTTGGCAAGACTGAGAGACTTATGGCACTATAAATGCACCTAGCCAGTGTATTACCAGCAATTCCTGAATTACTATATAAAGTAACTGTGTACAACAGTTGACTGTTGAAGTAAATAGTGTTTTTACATCAAAAGGTGATACAGTATTAAACCAAAATTCAAGTATTTAATATTAAACTGTAGGTGTAGAAACTCTGACCTTCTGTTCCTGTGCACTACATAAAACAGATCAAGAATTATTTTTTCATTTAAATTCTTCCCTCTACGGTTAGAAAAAGGCGCAGAGGAAAAAATAAAAATGTAGTTGCAATGCTGCGTCTTCAGCACGTGACTGTTCCAAAGCGGTGGGTACAGACAGGCACGTGGGTACAACTGCCCAGATCAACATGACCTCTGGATTTCCCCACACACAGCCTCAATGCTCTCAGTTCACTACCATCTCAACACCTCCTCCTCTACGACTGCGAGATCCCAGTCCCTGCTGTCCCCTGCTTTTTATCTGTAACCTTTCCAACAGCTGTTCTGATCAGTTACCCGGGCAGACACGTTATCTTCTCTCCTGCACAAGTGACCAGCCGAGCTACAAGATGTCGTCTTTGGACAACCAGGAAAACGTGAAGATATGAACATGGAACAGTACTTCTCTCAAACCAGTTTTTGGGAAGGCCTGGAGAGACATTTACACTTCTGCCTAGGCATCAGTGAAGAAGTGCCGGATGCTTTACAAGCTTGAAAAAAACTGCTTTACAAAAACGAAATTCTGATTAAGAGAAATCAAGTTTAAATTAGAAAGAAAAAACAGCCTCCTAAAAATGTAGTATTTTAATTACTGTCTAGATTTATTTAAAACAATTATGAATTACTAGGGCTTTTGAAATTATAAATGCTCTTACTCCTGCTACAAACTTAAAGTCAGGAGTTAAATAGAAGTTACCATAAGCTTTGGTGAAAAACCCTAGTACCTATAGTTACAAAACAGTTCAAGATGTATCAAAATTAGTAGCAGACATGACTACAAAAAAAAAAAAAAAGGTATAAATGCTCTTACTCCTGCTACAAACTTAAAGTCAGGAGTTAAATAGAAGTTACCATAAGCTTTGGTGAAAAACCCTAGTACCTATAGTTACAAAACAGTTCAAGATGTATCAAAATTAGTAGCAGACATGACTAAAAAAAAAAAAAAAAGGTAACGAGAAGTGTAAGATTTCTCTCTCAAAAAAAGCACTCATAGCTTTTGGTGCACAGACAGCACATTCTCTGAACAGGGGGAATCAGAATCTAGAGGCAGTTTTACCAACTTTGCAATTTAAGAAAGGTAAATGACAGAAATGTGAGGAACAAGGCCTGTGTGTATCCTGCTTTAGTACTCATAGTGCCTGAATATATTTCACGTTATTGAAAATTACTTTCTAAGTATAGTAGAGACTGTGCCTTTCAACAAGGAACAGAACAGAATTAAAATTGGGTTAGCCCATTTTGAAGTATTTCTACGAGCAGTGCTATGGTAGCTCACAGCTATATTAACGCATGAACTTCTTTTTGGACTTCCCTGGGTTTAGGGAAAAATAAACCACCAAAAAACGCACACATGATAAGATGGAAGCATCAGAAAAACTACAAAAATAAAGCAAGCACCTACATAATCATAGCAAACGGTGAAGCTGAGGACTGCGTGCCTCTATATATAAATCTTTACAAACCAACACATAAATGGTTAGGGTTTGGGGTTTTTTTCCCTAAATCAAAGCAGAACACATATGCCTTATATTATTTCAAATGGGTTTCGGATGGGGCAAGTGTGGGTAGAGAGGACAAAGAAAATGACAAAGGAAATGACAGTGAGATTTTATTTCCTTGGCATGTGAGAGTACAGAGAAGTTACTATAGCGCTTACTGTTCTTACCTTTTGGATTCCAACTCATCACAAATTACAGCATAACTACATCAGTGGTGGAATTTAACACACAATTTACATTTTCAAAATTATTTATTTTTTCTTAAAGATATCCCCATTTTATGCAGCCTACAAACCTGAAGAAAATGCATTTGCTTCCAAAAGCCATAATAGTAAGTGGTTTGGGCTGTTCAAAGTCAAAGAAGCAGTCCTGAGATTTCAGATGTTGAAACTTTCTCCACAGCCACATGTTCCTTTGATGTTTGGATTATTGAAGACAAATTCACTGGACAGTTTGTCTTCTACATAGTCCATTTCAGTTCCTAGAAGTGTCAGCTGCGCCTTCTTCTCAATAAACACTCTAACTCCTTGAAGACAACAAAGAGAAAGAATTACGTACAGCAAAATCATCATTCACTTTGAAATTCTCTTTTGACTCATAATAAAAAAAAATGGAAGCTAAATATGGGAAATAAACTGTAGAACTTGGGAACAAACCTCAGCTTCGATACTTAATTCCCAGGCATTACAGTCAGTAACACGTTTCCTACCATGCTTAAAGTCCAACAAGATGCCCCAAAACCTTGAAAACCCAAATGTTCCTCTCTCAAAAGGATTCTTCTAGCTCTGTCACAAGTGTTAAGTCTACATTAATTATTAGCAATACTGCATCTTATAATAAGGCGAATGTGTGTACTTTCAAATATATCACAGCCCTTAAGGATTAAGAATTAGTAGTTCATTTGAGGGAACTAGACAGAGCTCCCTTTTCTGAGGCATACACAGTATCTACCTCTCTGGAAAGCTATCAAACTTCCAAACTGCAGATCTGATACAAAGGCCTGAGTGGACTGCTTTAGCTTTTCACAGACTACCAAATAAAAAAAATAAAAACGTAAATTGTATTAGTAAACAGCAACAAGAACTCATTGAGTTGTATGAGAGGCTGCTGGAAAGCTGTTTCATCATAGTAGACATTGAGACAAAATATTACTAACACAAGCCTGTGGGCAAGTAAGTTGAATCTACACATTTTTGGGGTCAATTAGGACAGTAAATGACAGCGAAGGCTAAGCCTAATGAAAGAGTTTATGGACCTGGTCCCTGAAGCAGTCGCTTACTATAAGAAAATTTGTGCTGGAATCCAAAGCCACCAGCTCACTGAGCACAGAGCTATACAAGAAGTGAGAGACTTCACTGGAAATCTGTCCAGAAGCTATGAAAACCAAACAGAAAGCAGACAGACACAACTGAAATCCTGTCTGGCTTTGAAACTTGAGGTCTCTGATCTGACTGAGGGAAACTGCTTTTATCTCCCTTAAGATCCAAACCAGGAAAAGCCTTCTGAAAAATCTGTTCAGTGTGATGAAGTTTGTCTTCCCAAGTAACCACTACCAGTGATGGAGCCCTGCTTTCCTGCAGATGGCTGAACATCTGCTTGTCCACAGGCAGTAGGGAATGAATTCCTTGTTTTCCTTTGCTTTGCTTGCATGTGTGGCTTTTGATTTACCTCTTAAACTGTCTTTACCTCAACCCATGAGCTTTCTCACTTTTACCCTTCCGATTCTCCCCATTATCCCACGGTGGGAGACTAAGTGGGTGCCTGCGTGGGGCTTAGTTACCAGCTGGTGTTAAGCCATGACAGGAACTCCAGCAACGGACCCACCATGGGGGGCTCAATGACATTGTCAGGCAGAGAGCTTAAATACCAGCACATGAACACAATTTTAAAGATACTCTTAAATTAAAATCACAGAACCTGTTGTTACAAAGCGATGTGAAGGTCAAAATCTCAAGGAGATTAAAAAAAAAAAAGTTACAAATCAATGAAGAGTAAGACTAGTTAGAGAAGATAATTGGGAAATCCCTTGAAGATAAAAATCTTTACTTTGCCAAGCCTTGCTTTAGGTGTGCTGATAAAGTACCTTTATACATGCATTGTTCTGTATCTCTAAACATCTGCTATTAGCCACCTCCAAAGACAAGAACCATGGACTAGACTTATCCTGGTAGAGTAGTTCTCTGATGCAGAGACCACGAAGCTGAAGATTTTAACTAACTGGTTACTTGAAAACACAAACTAAGGTGACAATTCTCATAACAAAACAGTAGGACCTCTTGCTATAAGTCTTTACTTCAAGTAAGTTCTAACCTGTACCTTGACAAACTTGTATTATTAAATTATAATTATAAGTTTATAATTATTATAAACTTGGTTATTCTTCCCCACCACCACAGAAGTTTGTTCTGCTGCATCAGAAACTCACCATCTTGAACTACTTCTTCATCGGAGTCTCCTTTCGATTTTGTATATTCTAACGTGTAAGAAAGTCCATTGCATCCTCTTGTGCGAACACCTACTTTCACACCTACCTAAAAAAACAAAAAACAAAACCCAACACCACATTTTCAATTTTTTAAAAACCTATTCTGGAGCACAAAGATAAAAAGTAGGCAGAACAACAAAATCCTGGCATTTATTATTCTGCACTGCCTCAAAGATGGATTCAGAGGTAACATTTTTTTCATTTTACAAAATTGACTACCAAGGTAACAGCAAATGTCAGATGTTTGCTACGGTGGATCAAGCCCTAAAGTATGATAAATTTTTGAAGTAATAAACCATCGGCACTCCCAGAGGTGCCTGGTGTCTCAGAAAGAGTAAAATTTCAAAGAGGATATTTTTGTGACTTCAAATTAAAGTTCACTCAGATGCCAATTCAGGTGCTATGTTAGGATTATTGACAGTAATGTAATTATGAAGCTGTGAGGCAAAGACAAGAGCAGTTATTAGATTTTCACAGAACTCTCCTAATGACACTATCAGAAAACCTACTTGAAACCAAAGTTCTGAAAAGAAATTCTTTGATTTCTTCATTACCTCTATTGCCAGTCTCACTTGCAAAACAATCCTCTCCTTAAATCAAGTATGTTTATTTGCTTACTGTTTTAATCATTAAAAGCCATTTTAAGGCACATTAAAAGCCAAGTCAACATGTTTGTAACATTCACAGTATCCAACAACGCTGACAAAAGAGAGCAACTGTGCAAGTAAAGAACCGAGAAAAGATTTTAAAGAAACAGAAAACTTATTTGTGCACAATCTTTCAAAACTATCTGTACCACTTTCCACACACCAATGCTTCATAACTGACGAGAAAAATTACATTGTTTATCTCCGTAATCAATGTTATGATAAAAATGTATCAAAACATATCACTTGCCATCAAGTGGGATGTCAGACAAACAGCATTTGATCTTTTCAGAAAAAAATACCTTTCTCTACAGGAACTGCTACAAATAATGGACTGGAAGATGCATACACCATTTATAGCAAGGGGCTGGCTGACCAGCTAGGTTATAGGCTTAGGGCTTCCTTTGGGTGGTTTAAAACATTAGAACAAAAAGTCTAGTTAGTTGCAGATGTGCAGGAAGCAAAAGAAACAATGGGCCATGTATGGAAGTTAAAAGACAAATATTCTTCTTGAAATAATACTTACTGTAAAGAAGAAAATCTAATGCTTGCTTCTATAATGGTTGGAAAGCAAGACTCTGCATGTTTTTTCCCCAAGAAGAAAAGATGAGAAGCTCAATCATTTATATGGAGAAATGCTGATTACTTAAAAAAATATATATATTGTCTGGCAAGTTTCTGAAAAATTAGATGTTTTCTGATGGGTATGAATCTAACTGTATTATTATTATATTATTATTATTATATACTGCACAATGAAAATTCCTACAAGAACTTAATAACATCTTCATATCAACAGCTGAAGATCCCTTGCCCTACCAGAAGTCTCCACTATACTGCACCAAAAGGCTTCATCAAAATACCTCTCAAAAACATTCTGAAGCTTGAAATTTTTTCAACTTTATCCACGTAAAGAGAAGTGTCATTACACTCAGTAATTTCCTGCATTTCATTTTATAAAGAAATGAGGCTTGATATATAAACAAGCTTACACATTCCCCTCCAAAAAAAGATGCCAACATCTCTAATAAACACCTCAGCATTTATGTCAAACCTCTAAGTCAGCCAGAAATATTTTGTAATCATAAATCGTGCACCATGGCACATTCTACATGGTGGCCCTGTTTATACTTACATGCTCAGGTTTATCTTTAAGAAGCTGTTTTATCTTCTGAACAGCTGATGGAGTCTGAAAAACAAAAAAGTATACATCAATTTGAAATGGTGGGGTTTTTTGGTTTATTTGCAGCGAGTGCTTGAACATATTGAACTGTGCAATGTATTCAGCTGTATTATAAAAAAATGTTATTCTAACTCTGTGCACTCGAATTTTCTCAGTTTACATCTGCCTCTTATCTGCGAAGGCCACCTTCTGCATCACCCACCCGTCAGTATTGACTAGCCTGTGCGCTACTTGAAAATGTCGAAGATCTAAAGAGGCTCACTCTGCTGCAAAACAGATGATTGCTGAATCTAATCCATACAGAACGCAAAAACCTCTTCACTCCCTCCCCCCCACCCCCAGCTACACTGCCAGCAGGTAGCTCAAGAACTGCAGCACTTAATATTAGGGTGCTTGTTTGGGCTTTTTCCCGTGACAAAATCCACAATTCAATTAAGTAATTCTGCTCTTGTGAAATTTTTGTCACATACACAATACAGACAAAAATCAATTAGGCACAGAAGTGTGTATGGCCTGATTCTCTTGCTTCCCACTAACCCCAGAGAGAAACTGACTTTACAGCAGGTAAATTCACTGTTCATGCAGATGTAGCTGTTGCAGAAATGCAAGAACACAACAGACACGTAAGCATGTAATGAAGTTCTTACAAGTTGCTAAGCCACCGAGAGAAGGAATAGCATTAGTAACGTGAGGTTCTTACCATGAAAAACACACAAAGCAAACTAAAAGCTGACTTACAGTAAAAAAAACCTTTTCCAATTACCGCTATTAATCTTCATTTGTTACAGCACCACTACAGAACAGGAATTACCTGCTCTGACAAACGATTGGACTGTATGTGCTTAACCTGCCCCTGTTCCCGCGGGGGACTGGCCGTGCTCTCCTGCAGGGTAACCCCTCTCTCAGGAGGGACACGGCCTCCCCAGCGCTCCCCACGGCAGCCCGTACACTTCCCCAGTCACCCAAAGGGCACAAAGCCTCCTCGGAAACAACCTACTCATCAGCTTCAAGAGATAATACATTTCCTTTTTCTTTTTTTTATTTATTATTATTTTTTTATTAAATACGCTTCGAGTGACTGTGCAAAAAGCGCGCACACACACACACACACTGCCCCCCCCCCCCAGGAAGGGGCCCTGCTGCCCGCACAGCCTGCGGCGGGGCCTTCCCCCAGCGCCACCACCCAGGAGCGCCCGCCGCTGACCTCCCCGGGGGACACAGACACCCCCTCACCCCCCGCTCCGGCCGCCCCCTTTCCTACCGAGCAACGCCCAGACGGCAACCGCCTGGGCTTAACGGCGCCGGCCCGCGGCCGCCACACGGCCCCGGGGGCGAGTCCCACCTCCCGCCGCGGCGCGGGTAGCCTGGATCTTGCGCTTGCTGACGGCGCGCACGGTGGCCCTCACCACCGAGGAGGCCATGGCCCCCCGCCGCCCCGTCCTCTGCCCTCTGCCATGGGCCACCGGCCCACGTCACGCCGCCACGGCGCCGACGCGCTTCCCTATTGGGCGGGCGGGCTGTGATTGGCAGGCAGCGGCGGTTCCGCCCCTCCTCCCCTGTGCTGCCCCGGGCGGCCTGCGCGGCGGGGGGGCAGGGCCGGGCCGGGCCGGGCCGCGGGGCTGTGCGGAGAGATAAGGGGCAGACTCGGGCAGGGCAGCCGTGCCGGGAGGCCCTTCCCTGGGGAGGAAAACCGTCCTCCTACCGCCAGCCGCTTCCCCTTCCCGCCCGCCGGGTTTGTGAGGCGGCCGAGGCCCGGTCGCTCTTCGCGCGGCCTGTCCCGGTGGGCCGGCGGCAGGGAGGCTGCGGGGAGAGGCCCGGCCGGTGCCCAGGCTGAGAAACCCGGGCGGCCTGGGCACAGGAAGGCTAATTCCGTCACCTTAAATTGAATATTGGGCGGTGAGGGAAGGAAAACACCGACCCCTTTTTCGTTTCCTCTTGAGGACGTCATTAAACGTGGTAGATAATGCTTTTCACCTGTGTTTACCCACCTTTCAAAGTCCAAGCACAAGCCCGTGCCCACATCTCGTCACCACATCTGTTCGGGGTACCCGATTCCGGGCTTGGCCATTTTGAAGAGCTTGATAGTAATTGTGCAGATGTTTGTGGGGTTTTTTTTGTTTGTTTGTCTTTTACACACATAATTACGCCGCTATTCTTTAATGACGCATGGTACTTCTGCCTCAAATACAAAGCTACCAAGTGTGTCAAGTGTAGAAGTTGGATTTTCTCTAGCTGCACAAAATGTGTCTTTCACACCCCACTCCTGCAATGTGGGCACACGTCCCCAGCTAAGAGACACCCCCTGGAATGCGCTGTCAGCCAGAAGCTGAAGTCAGTAGTATGTATGCTTGGAGAGGGGAAGCGTGTCTACCAAGATAGCTCATACTGCCTTCATCACACACAGCCTATCTCGTGGGCATGAAGAGCTTTACCCTCCTTGTACTTCCTCTGGAAGCTTCCAACAGTCACCTCCAACAGTCACCTCCAACAGAAGCTCCTCAGTCACTTCTCTGCTGAACGAATCTCAGCATGAAAGACCGGGCAAGAACAACAGCCTTTTCCTAAGCTGCTTCTCACCTTCAGCACATCACCAAAAGAAGATAAAAGCAAAAGTCAGCATTAAAATCTAAATAGTTCAAGTGAACAAGAAACGTTATTGGTAACTTGATCTGTATAGGAAAAGAAAAACATTTTCTTTGCTAGTGAGCTCCCATTGTAAGCAGCTATTTCAGTGCCACAAAAAGTTACTACTGAAGAAGTTACTGCAGCTTCCGCAGTTCTTATAGAAGTGTGATGTTTATAAAAGAAATCATTGTGTATTAAATACATTTAAATAAAAACTTCTAATGGATCAGAAGCTTCAAATATGGTTTCAAATACAGCTATGAAACAAATCTCACCAGAACAATTAAACTGAGATGGATGTGCGTTAATCTAGTAGCTACGTAACTAACTGAGACTAAACTACCTAAGACAGACGTACTCGAAACAGAACTTTGTCCTCCTTTTTTCAGTACTGATAACTAACTACTCATAGCACAAGACATTTTCCAACTTTGGAAACAGGACATAAAAAAATATGTGAAATTCCTGTCAAATATGACAATAGCACTTTTTATTTTTTTATATAAAAAGCAGCACAAATGAACAGTGCTATCAACTCAGTGTCCCTCCATATCATTAAAGGGACTGCGCATACAGGTGGCTCAGAAAAGGACTTTAAAACTATTAGTTTATTAGTACTTTTTATTACATGTTATTAGTGTGAATTTAGTTGTAAACTATTATTGTATTTATTACTTTTGATATGGCTCTGGAAACTCTTTCTTAATGCAGTGTGTTCTTTCAGAATTTTTCTTTGCATGTGGAAAATTGCTCAAGACTATACTCCCATAAGGCAAGCAGGATCTTAGATATCAAGAATTGTTAGGAAGAACTTCCTTCTCTTCAATTCTAATTTTCAATCCATTTCCTAAATTTTACAACAACTTAATCCAGCAGATATGCATGCCTCCTCTACTGTGTTCATTCTGTATCACATACCATTCTGTAAGTTATGACTGTGCTCTTTAAGCAAAGGATTTATTAGTTACTGGTTTAATGCTTGAAACATATAACCCAAGTTTGGGGGTTTTGTTTTAGGGCTATAAGATTAGCAACTATATAGAATTTTTTGTTGCATAAGGAAGCAGCAGCTTCAAAGTGAGAAGACTGGTCGATCTGCAGAATGAGCATTCATTGAGATGTGAGTTCAGAAATTTCACAGTTGAAAACTTACCACTAAACTACAAAGTATCACAAACAGAAGAGTATTAGTATGCACAAATGTGATATTTTTATTTTTAAATAATTTCTATCTTCCAGATTATGCCATAGTCCCTTAGAGACTTACATACTTCATTCCCATCAGTAAAACTGAAAGTAACTCTTGATGGAGGGCTAAATAAGGCATACGGAAGACATGCCAGCCTTTCTTTTTTTTTAGGATATTAATGAAAAACTACAGGAATGAGCTTATTTTTGAGGGAAAAACTGACTGCGTTTCATGGGATGAAATATGCTACAGAAAGTTGTTGCTGGCTAGTATTTTGCTTGAAACTAAGTTGAGGAAATAATACAAAATAAATTATTTGCGAAAGTGGAACATCTAAAATTTTACAGATAGCTCGCTACGGATGGATGAATACCAAAACAGGAGTTAGTATTCCAGTTCCCTAAGACCACTTTGGCATTTCTAGCTTTCAATTTTAATAATAATACATGGGTAAGGAAAAAAAAATAATGACATTTCTAAAACCAGTTAATTCTAGTAATTTCTCATTAGTTCTACATTTAAGTCAGGAATACTGAAAACTACAACCCAAGAAGAAATACAGAAACTTAAAGTCTGATTTTTTAAATTTTTTTTAATTTATTTAAAAGTCATAAATAACAGTGGTTTCGATTTTACCATTTAACTAATTATCTCCTGAACAAGATAAGACGGTACATTACCAGCTCTGGAAGGACTTCAAGTAAAGCTCAAGTTCATACTACTAATTAAATTTCTTGGCTGGTATAAGGATCCTCTCCACATTTTATGTAAAATGGAGACGTGTTTTCCCCAGTAGCCAAATATAATACCTCTGTTATTTAAAGCATTTTTGTCTGTATCCCCAAGGCCTTGAAAAAGATTCTTAGCAGCATCAAACAGGACTGACCTGTTTTTTAGTCTTTCTTTCTTCTTGTACACAAGCACAGCAGCAAATGAGCTCCCATAAAATCACAGAACAGAAAAACCCCAAGAAATCTTAATGGCACTGCTTGTCCAGAGATTGTTTTACATATGTTTACTAGTGTCTATGTTTTCAGTTCTCTACAGGGAAAAAAATAATGTAGCAGTCTACAAACATTTCAAACACTTTTACACAAGGATTCAGTAAACAATCAACATTAATAAATATTATTTGCTCCTTCAAAAAATCAATTTTTGAAGAAAATATAATGTATTTGGCTTGCACACAATTATAGTGCATTTTAAAACGGTCAGGTGGAACAACAGAAACTTGAAAACAGTCCATTTTTAGTACCTGCCCTTTTCTACATGACTTATCTAAGAAACAAATACAAAACATGATGGCTTCTGATTAAAATGTTCAAACAATCTATTTTAAGAACCATATTTCATTAAAATTAACTCAAAGGTTGTCTGTGCTGCTGTCCTGTGAATCCAAGTGCTTTAGCCAAAGAAAAAATTTTAAATGAATGAAGGGCCTGTATTGCAATTTAACAGTGCTTAATGTCCCTTATGATTCTTGTTGGGTCCTCTTCTGTGAGGCT